ACTAGTAGGCTGTATGTGTAACTCTTGATTAACCGTATATGAGGAATCGGGGTCACGAAGCTGTTATGTGTTGCAGGGGGGGTGGGACGGAAACGGAAGCATGTTGGAGATACAACTGGTCAAGTGGTGATGCAGGGTCCAGGGCGTTTTTCGTGCAGACTCTGCGGAAGCGTTTACAAGCACCTTGCTTCGCTGACCCAGCACCTTGAAGTGCATCGGAACCAGACAACCTGCATCCTCTGTCACACCACTCTCAGTCGTAGAACCGACCTGCGTCGTCATATGCGTTTGAAGCATAACATGCAATGGCAAAAGACTATCCAGAGGCACCGGAGCTCTAAAAAGGAATTGAACTCGTAAATTCTGGCTGGTGGCCGTCTCGACTCGACCCTCGTGGTTGCGCGTTCTATGCACACCCTATGCACGACGCGGCCGATTCTTTCACGAATTTATCCGCATGAAATTCAATTTCGACGTCGACGAAACAGGCTTTTTAGCGCGGTTCCTTCTCCCGTTGACATTATTTCTCTCGTTTTCTTTTCACCTTTTTTTTCTCCTAGCTTCGCCAAGATATTCCGTTTAGCTGGCGAATCGACCCTTATATTCATACATATATATATATATATACATGTAAAAATGATAAATGTTGACGTTTTTCGAAGTTGCATGACACCGTCACGTGCGTGCTCTTCAGACGTGCGTTCGTTACTGCGGTCCATCCTAGTAGTATGTACTTGTACGTATATTGTTCGTATTTGCGACCTAGCGGATGGCGTGGTGAGTGACTACGAGCGCTGAGTACGAGGCATTATTTTTGTTGTGAATGTATTTATTTTTACTTAATTGTCGTCGAAATTGTAACCGAACTATGATGGAAAAGTCGAAACCTATAATAATGCGCTTGCTTGTGTCGATGTAATCGCGGTTAGATTGTTTTGTAACTCACTGTATACAGTTCGTTTTGTACATTTTATTTTGCGAACACCAATAACCGATTTGGAATGGTCGGTACATTGCGAAGGACGCTCAGTAAATTCAAACGTTTATCTGTTCGCTTTTTAATAAATACTTCATTAATTCGGCAACGAGAGAAGAGAGGAATAAAAAATCTCGAATGCTCCTAAAATAACATAAACTGTTGGAAAATGGAGGTTAATTGGTTAATGGAATATTTTTTACGCGGAGAAAGAAGAAACGTTACATGAGCTTTGCTTATGATCGACGTGTATGAACGTTCTTGATAAAATTATTGCATTGAACGGTAATAAAACAAATGGTTTGTTTGTAAATTACCAACATTACATATCCATTACAAAAAAAAATAGAGCATATAACCTGAACCACTTCAAATTTGTATTTCAAAAGAGTCATTAGTAAAAAGTTAATTGAACCTTTATTTCTGCAATTAGTTTTGTATGGTTTTGCGTAACAAAAAATTTAATTTTGTACTATGTACTTGATTGTACTGAGGTACAATTCACGAGTCTTTTAAGTATATCGATGAAACAAGATATTGAGAAATAATTAATATCAATGCCTAAATTCTAGTCATTGTTTGCAGTATTTTTAATAGATGAATAGCACCGTTGCGTGTGTTGCCTTCACTAAAGGTATATTTTACATGTAATAGATTATGTAGTTAATACATAATAAGTAATAGCCTTAAAACTGAAGTATAGAATTAAAAGTCACGTTATACTGATAGAATGTTCCATAAAGTACCATAAAATAATACATACGCTTCAATATTTGACAGTTTCCTCCCATAAAATAATTTGGCAATTATGTTGTAAAAATTATGAAACTACATTATTGTATATGAATTGTGTAAAATGTTGTTAACTCTTTTAAGTTTCCAAACACTGAGATAAAATCGACTTACTAGACTTCTAAATAGATCAAGTCACTTTGTGCGTGCATGTCAGTGATAATTAATAGAACAAATTTGGAGCGGATAAAAAATACACGTTGTAGGAGATTACCCCAACAATCATTTATGTTCAAAGGTTGAATGTTTTTGGACTACTATATTTTATTTGTATAGTATTTTGAATCGTTCATTTCCAATTTTCCTGGTTATGACTGTTTTTATTTTAATTGTATAACATTCCCTTCAATGTTAAACGACAAGAGTCGTCTCACAAACGATCTTCAAGACTTTAATAATGTCTCGATGCCAATAACATATTTCACTCAAAAGTAATATATTTTTTTAATTCATTTATTCGGTTTAACTTAAAATTATTTTAGTGGTATTAAATTCGTATAACATACTGTGTAAATGTAGAAAATGAACTGGCATACACGAGTTGCGTACAGTTTACTAGCTTAATTCTTCATGTATATAGATTATATATTCAAATTTGTGTTCTGTAATCGGTTTCCTGACGTGTAGATAATTATGTACACAATTTTCTCAGCAAGACGCCTACGTGGATGTGTTGATTATTCAAGAATTTTTCTCGGCGAATATTGAATTAATGTTTAATTATTTTATAATTATTGTATAGGAATCAATTATTATTTCCTCCCTGTGCAAATGAAAATATCCTCGCGAAAGTCCGACATTTGCATACAACATTCCAATATCACATGCAATGAAATATTTATTAATACATAGTGCTAAAAAGAGGAAACCTGTACAATATGTCGCAGTACAAGAAATTCAACATTACTTGTTTACACATACGAGGGCTGAAGTTTGTACAAACGTACAATTCCATGCCTATAAATAGATTCAAGAATTCACAAGCATATACCACAATGACCGACGATAAATATGTACCAGATTACAAAGCGGTAGAAGTACTCTCTCTTAGTCCGTCCATGTACTATTAACGATACACAAGCATCTTATTTCTTACCATAACAATGTTGGTAGTTAACTCAGCTGTCCGTTTATAGTCAATTTTGTTTATATTATGCTTGTTACACTAATACCAATATTTTGAGTTTATTGTGTAAAATTGCTGATCAGGCATAGACGCAATTTTCATAGACCAGAGAAATCATACTATGTTTACTTTATTAAAACGTAGGTTTTTATTCCAAGCATTATATTACAACAAAGTAAAGATACTAATAATTAGCGAAATGGCAGATACAATGTATATTTACATTAATTGTCGACAAGACTAAAAACAAATGTTAGTATATGAGAAAATAATGCTAAACGATAACATTCATTGCTTTGCTAAGTTGTATGAATATTAGTATCATATTAGATATAATATAAATGATGTTATTGCATGTCGTAAAATGGCTTGTTAATTCAAAAAGCTAAAAGAGTGCGTGCAGACGTCACATGAGTAATCGCACCCCTCAATTCATTACATGGAATTTTTCTTACTTTATGGGAGAACTGTTTTCTGCTTTAACAAAAGATAAACACGTATGCATATGAACATCGTCAACCATTTGGGCTCGCATACATATCAATTAGTTTTTTTCTTTACACAAAGAACAACAGTTATTTTTATTTAAGAAACGTGTTAGTTTTGAAAAAAGGTTGAACATGTAGAAAAAATGAAAACCTTAGTGTTTTTAGATTTCATTTTTAGAATTCTTATGATAAACTGCTGTAAAATTATATATCAAGTAAATTTAAAGCTAACAGTAACGTAAGAGATGCAAGTCATATAATTATGGTACATAACTATAAGTAAGGAACTGTACACTTAAACTGTGAACATGAAAATTAAGGGCATTCAAGATTAATAGCATACTTCATTCGTAAAAGAACTTAGGTAGCATTTGTAAGATGCACCAAATTTGAAAGATCAATTGTGTTTTCCAAATGAAGTACAGATCAAGTACTATGTATGGAATCAATGTATTGTTATAAAATTTTTTAAATAGTCACACTAAACAAGCGAGTGCACGTACGTAATATATACAAAAGGTGTATTAGATAAAAAGCTTGGATAATACAAGCTTATGCTTTGAAGTATCAGTACTTTATTCAAAATACAATTCATTTAAAACGATTATCTATTTTGGATTGTTGGGTATTATACTATTTGTTATAGATAAAAGTAGAATAAAAGGATTTTTTATTTTAAAGAATGCAGACTTGCATTATCGTAACCATTCATTAGATCCATCATGACTGTTATTTGTTCGTTTTTCCATAAAAATATATAGCAAAATTTGAAAGGTTGGTCTCCGAGCCCGTAAATTATATTGCCATATATTATTTCTCTCTGCTGAGGATTGCTTAAATCTTGGTCTCTTAGTCAATGATATTAATAATACTATCACTAATAGCACGAGTGGGCGAAAAGGTACGCGATGGTAGATGAAACGAATTCAAGAAATTGCATGATGTTATTTGAATTACATGTAAATTTAAATGATTTCATACGTAAAATGACTAAAACATCGCTACTATATATCGTGTGACTTATTGTAATTGATTAAAATAATACAACTTGAAAAGTCTCACTACTTAATCCCTGCGTTTCCCGATTCAATAGCATCCATACCATCCCCTAGTAAGTATTAGTATATTCAATGTAAATCATACGTTTAAAAATAAATTTATAGAAATCTTCGATGTCAGGACATCCTTACAACGTGGCACCCATTCACCAATTTGGTGCTGCTCTAAATGTAATACTACATTTACCACGCAGCATGCTTTACTACGACATATTGCTTCGAAGCATGAAGCGTCTCCAAGTGCTGCTGCTTATTGTAACATCTGTCAACGGTTCTTCAAAACGAAGTGGAGTCGTGCAACCCACAATAGCAGATACCATAGAACATAGAACATAAAAGAGTAACACAAATGCGTAATAAAGCATATGGTGTCAATGTTAATGCAGCGCAAAATATTCAATGAACGTAGCAAAATGCCTTACTTAGATTACCTGCTTTTTAAAATGAAGAAATCTACCTTATCTTAATTATTTACTTTCATAAACAATTGTGAATTTTTATTACATTGTATAATAAATTGTACACGTAGATCTTGTGTGGTTAAATTTAAAGTCAGAATCTATAATTAAATTATTTTATTACATACTGTAGCAAATTATAAACATACTTTAAATCACATTGAAACCACTGCTTCCATTATTGAATCGTGACTTTCCACATTTGAACTTATTAATGCTTTTCATACAAGTGGTCTCATCAAATTTTTAGTGTAAAAGAAGTAATTTGTCACTGAGGAATGTTATAATTATAAGCCTCCTCTTAATGCAAGCACCAAATGTAGCACGGATCCTCCTTGAACCTTATAGTCTTGTGCCGTCTTTTCATCATTCCTGTAAATATAGAATAAGTGGTCTTCAACAACTTTTGCTAGTTTAACATAATTTTATTATCAAATCATAAAAATTAATATTTCACTACTGTGTAGTAATGAAGTTTGTATTATCATACCCTATTCATATATTCACATAGAAATAATGTAACAGTATCAACCTGATGTTCTACGAAATATTTTCAATAAGTACATAAATACTGTAAATACTAAGATGTAATCATCTGATAAATTGCATCACATTTTGCTTTTATACTAAATTTGAGGCATAAAGTCAATATTAATGTTTTAATTCGAATAAACCAAATTACATTGCATATGCTGTTGTCAGATCAACTGATAATTCAGTATATCATTAAGTATGTAATCAATAAATTGGATATAACTGATAGTGACAGATAATAAATGTACGGGCAGAGAATTTTCAAACATACAGTGAAATGTCATTATGCAGTCCATCGGTAATAATGTTCATTGTCAATCATCAAAATCACTCGAAATGAATATCCTCTCATCGTGATTTTCAAGTACACACAATTAAAGAAACGATGTCCTTAAAATACATTTGAATTGAAACTCATAATTTTTAACAGCTTAGATCAGTAAATAATAAACTATCATTAACCATTGAGCCATTGATCCCTAGGATTTTGATCATTAACAATTGCTACATTCAAGATGTGTGAGTCCAACCATATAAGAATCATATCGTATTTTATAAAAAATGCATGATTTGCATTTTATATTTATCACATACATTTGTTTACCCGAAAAAATTAATCTCTGTTGTTGAGGTGGAATTCCTTCCTTTTCTTCTACTCTTTCCTTGATTCTCTCTACTTTATCTGTAGGCTCAATATCAATTTCAATCTACAAAATAAATGATGAATTATATGAAAGAATGTACAGATTTTAAATTTAGTATCTTATTATTATAAATGTATAAAATTCTATTTTATTTTCACGATAGTTTGCAAAATTATCAGAATATAAAAGAACAATGTACATTTCCTTTAAAACACCACAACTATTGGAGTAATATTTATCTAAGCAATTGGTAACCATTGATTAAACAATATAAACTTCAAGCATTTCCTTATTTTTTCAACAAAACAATGATGCAAATGAATAGTGAGATTACTTGCCTCTTTCCCTGTAAGTGTCTGAAAAAGGTTAAGTAAGATTAGCTGAAACCGATATATGTACATGTATATGAGCAAACAATGAGTAAAACATTTCACTCTTACCTTTACCTTAATCAACATCTTTGAAACGGTTTATAAATTAATTAACTAATATTCTATAAATCGGAATACTGTCTACAACCTTAAGCAGCCGCTACCTCGATAAGTTGAATCAATTTGTTGTAGAGCAACCATCCGCAAAACAGAATTCTTAAGCAGATACAGTCGATATTATGACATCTAGCGGCATAACTGTCAATCGTGTAACAGGAAAACAGAAATGAGAATGAGGCCGAAGCAGAGATGAGTTCAGAGATTGAACACGGGCAGGACGCGCGATCGAGTCCTGTGCTGCCGTCTGGTGGTTGGTGCGAGCGGCTAACATACTTGCTACCTGTTACCCTTCAATGGCGGCGCAACTCATATCTGCCAGAAATGAGTTGCCCTTGTACATATGTACATGCCCTTGAGTATGTATGTACATATGTACATACATTGTACACCGCGACCCCTGACTGCAATCCAGCTCCCGGATTGGACGAGGACGGGCCCAATCCGGGAGTCGAGTCCGGCCAGTGGTCGCGGCCCGGGCCGACGGACCGGCAGTTTCCCCGAATAAGCCAGGATAAGCCGCTGCAATAAGATGTCGCGATCAGTTTAGAGAATTGCGAGGACGTATTACGTGCTACGTTCTTAATTGAAACCAACGGGGCGTGAAACATTTCTTAAGGATCGACGGCATTCTCGTTCGTAACGAGGTTCAGGTGAGGCTCCGTAAATGTCGGGGGGATTCACGCGCAGTTTCCGTGCCGACATGCGGGAGAATCGAAGTCAAGACGGTCGGGACGAAATAGTGGTCACGGGTCGTGAGTGCCAAGAATTAAATATCGTTCAACAAAGGAAAAGAAAGCGTAAGTAGCGAAGGCAGAGGAAGCGGAAGCAAAGGTGAAATACAGTCAGAGCCAACTTCGGGGTGGAGGCAGACGGAGCCGAGGTCAGAAACCCTAGGTCTCCTTCGGGAGGGATCTCCTAGGGTAGTACATGTGCCTCCCGAAACAGATAAACGTCCCGTCAGTGAGTTTTAACATTTCGTTCCTAGGACTTCCTCATGTCGCAGGACAAAAGATCCGTACCAGCACGGGGGTTGGTTGTATGCATATTCCGATTTATCTAAGGGACCGCGAGTCGACGGGACGACCTCTCGCGAACGCGCGAGTGGCCACGCGAATTTTCTTTGTTTCTTGTGTGTTAATTTAGACTAGGAATAAACTTCCCCCGGGTCCGCGGGAGATCTCGTTTCATGTTCTTTTGTTGAACGCAGGGAAGTCGGATGACCCTCCGATTTTGGGGCAACCCGTTTCGCGATATTTCTTCGGTTCACTCAAAAAAGACTTGGGAGGAGGGTTTCGCGAGGAGCCGGTCCCAAGTCGAGTATGTTGGAAGGAGTGTGGTTGTTGTTTCAGGTATAGCTAGTGAGGTAGGATAGTTGTCTGGAATGAATGTCAAGATGTAAGCAAGCAGTGCCAGAGCGAGATCTCTTCCTGGGGGTTTGGGGGGAAATCCTGGACCTAGGATACTTTTCCATCGTTCGCCCTTCTGGAAGAGCGGAAAATGACCGTCCTGCGCCCGGGGTTCTACACCGTCGGTAAGAATTACTTTCCGGCAAAAAAATTCTTGTCATATATTTTTTATCAATATTCCGAAAATTTTCAGACCAATTTTGGATATCAAATTCTTTTCGCAAAATTACTTCCTCCTGACATTAACGGGTTGCACCTCTGATTCCTACAAAATCAATTTTAGTTGAGCCGTGAAATTTCTTTAATATGGAATGTCTAGATTACCGTGAGTAATTAATTGTAGTCTAGAAAGTAAATTATTCGCTCAGAGTACTCCCGGACGCCCGCGATTGTGACAATTTTGTTTCGGGGATGATATTAATTAGACCGCGCTTGAGAATCCGGATAAATGTGCAATATGCCCGGTCTGCGCATCCTCGGATCGTAGGTCGTCGTTTTCCTAGCTTTTGGATCTGCTCGCGGAGTGATTTTTATTAATATTAAAAATCAGGAGATTGCCAAGCGTTCGAGACGTAGGGGGCTCTGCCAGCAATGACTGCATGAGTCGAAGAGGCAACATGCCTAAGCGGTCCCTTAAGAAAAGGGCAACTACGATGGTCTTCTGTTCTTTCGAACGGACAACCATCCATTTTTTAGCCACATCGTTCCTCGTATTTTTTTCTGTGTCATTTTGTCAGGATTGACGGAGAAGAGCAGGCGAACGATCATTTCGATTATATTTTGTCGATTCTACATTTAAATGGATTTTTTCCTATTTAGTGATATGAAAAATACCAGTTCAGTCAATTTAACAAAATCGATCTACCATTAATGTTCTTAACTTTTAGTAACTTATTCGCTGTCTAATCTCAAACTTCCTGGATCTTTATGATTGTTCTGTTCTGTCTGTTCCTTTGTGCCCCTTTCCAGGTTTAGATGGATCACAACAGGATCCATTTTTTTTTTTCAAGTCATCATGGGTAATTTATCGCCGCAGATCTTGCTGGACTTGTTGGTAAGAGATGTTAAAAGATGTTAAATGATGTATTATCATAGAGATGAGTTGGGAGCAGAGATGAGGAGGATCCCTGAATTGAGCCGTCATTAGGGGATATTAGGTGGCAGGTGTGTTAGTCGTCCACATTCTTCACCGGGGGGACAGTACAGGACGCGATCGCGCGACAGAGAAATCCGTCCCGTAAGCAATCTCCCAACTCATTTCTGGCCGAAGTCCCATTGAGACTTTGTTTATAAAAGTATGGACTGCTAGCTGTCAACTTCACTCAGGTTGCTAATATATCAGCCCCATCGAGGATCAAGAACTAACGATGTCGTATACCTCAGAGTTCTAATTAGATTCTCAATTAATGCCCGACTTTTTCATACTCCCGGATAACTACCCTCCGGATAAAAATATCTGCCAGATAAGTAAAGGTTTGGTTATTTTCCCTGAACTATAAGGCTTGCTATTTGAAGGATAGTTAAATGTTTTGGCCGATCTGGCAACACCGCAAATGCGAGAAGTAACTGACTTCGTGAATTACGATACTCTTTAAATATTTACGTCTATTGGTGAGAAAGTTTGAATTTGATTTTGGGAATTAATGTTAAATTATATTAAACACAATTTTGTAGTGTACTTTTATTACTTTAAATCCTCCAGGTGCTAAAGAATAGTATTTTGTTAGAAAATGGTTTACAATTTTTTATTATTACATGACATTGGAATAAGTAATACGTTTAACGAGTCAAAGACACAGAATATGCATTATGAATATTAATTCATTAGCTGGGGTCCAGCATTAAATGAAAAGAAAGGAAAGAAAATTTAAACAACCACACTTTGATTAAACTATCGTATATTTATCGTTTATCATTCGGGTTACAAAATTATCGTTAATTTGGTCATTCTCCGTGGACCACACAACTAATTTATTAGGTTATATCCGTTTGTGACCTTTAAGCTATACAAAACATTTCCAAGTGTTCCCATCGAGAGCGCTATAGTAGATATTTGCTAGATATCTGTTATTCAAACTACCGGATAACATTACTCGACGGTTAACTCTTAATTGGAAGTGAAAAGAACCCAACTGAAAGATATCTTCTGGATAACTTTGTCGGAAATTTATTCGTAGGTGAAAAAATTGGATATAAATCGATTCCCGCTTCATTAAAGTAAATGGACCACTACTGCATGGGTAAAGGTATTCATAGCACAAAATATGAGAGTAAAGATAGAAAGACGCAACATATCGTTCAAAGCTAAGATTAGAGATTAATCGATCATATCACATTACAGAAACAACTCCAGGTAATCAAAGTTTAACTGGTTTATATCCGGTTTAAACCTGCTGTTAACCAATTAAACTCCGATTAACTCGCGTTGTGAAACCGTGCTAAGTGATATCTTATTTATAAACAATTAACTTTCTTCGTGCAACGCAAACTTTGAAGTGGATTTCACAATATATCAAGAATTAAATATACGTGGGATAGCATTTGAAAGTAAGATTTCACAACTACTGATTACAATTATTTTCGTTATAAATTTCAAAGTGAAAGGGGGAACACAGAGCAATAGGAAGGTAGCCATATTGGTCAGCCAATATCCTGGTTGGCTAAAATTTAGTTGTCACCTTAGGAGTAGCGAGTAAAGTACGGTGCGGGCTATAAACAGAAAACGAAGTACGTATGTATGTATGTACAATGTGCCACTTGTATCGCAAAGAAGTGTAAAAATTATGTTTTATGTAGATGAGTGGCGAAAGAAATAAGTTAGAACAAGTAGGAAATATGATACAGATGACCTACCAAGCAGGCGGCTGAAAATTTGGTTGACTAATATGACCACCCGGTCCCTTCCTTTTGCGACATACATGGTTTGTTCGCGTTGACTGCACTTTCTACACTCGAGGGTAACGAGTGTACTACACTTTTCTTGAAAAGTGCAGAAGTGTAGATACACTTTCATCGATGTCCCGAACGCTAGAAACCTCACGAAAGTCCAAGATGACCGATTTAGTAGAGAAGTACGCGATTTTGAGGTTATTCGTATCGGACGATGATGAATACGAAAATATAATGCTTTTTCCAGCCTTCCTTCTTGAGCTGTCTTCGTTTTCTTCAAATCCTATAATTCGTTCTATTACCTTGTAATTGTAGAAGATAAAAATTCCATTTACGAATTTCAGCTATTGAAGATCAATAAGGGTCAGAATATTATTGCTGTAGAATGAAAAACCATTTAACTACAACAGCGAAAAATTATAGTTTAGTTAATTCCAACCGCGGTTCAGTAGTCATTCATAATTATTGTAAATTATTTCAAACATTATGTACAAAATTAAAACGCTAAATCGTTCTACACATGAAGAAAATGCATGAATAATTACTTCTGTTTATATTACGTTGAGATGTTAGCATAAAAATGTTGTATTTTCCTGTTTGTTGGTCTTTTCAATTTTGAAATTTGCCGCTAAATTCGCGGGCTACACCTTTTGCACTCGCTCGGGATTGAGGGTAAAAAGCAGGGTTGGGTAATTTCATGATTTTCGAGGTTTTTGGCGTATATTTCGTAAATCAAGTAGTTTACCGTAGAAAACGTATAAAACCAGGAGAAAACGTATCAAATATGGCGGATAAGACAGACGTAGGGCATGCGATATCTACTAGGTTATAAACATCCATCTTGTCCATTTGTTTCATCCCATAATTTACTTCTTGGTCTTCCACTTTTATACATTTTGATACAAATATTGGTTACGAATCTTACGACTTCAAGTAGTCGTTATCAGCCGTTATAAACAAACGTCAAATTCACATATATGCATACATTTCAAACTTCCAAGGCTGATTTCGAATGTGTGCGGATTTGTGGATACGTAAAGTGCAATCCCCGTAATATCCAATGAGAATCTCTCTTATAGGTAAATAGGGGGACTTTCATTGGTTATTGACGATATGGCTCATGCGCTTTGTACATTTAGTTTGGTTTAATATACTTCGTGCCTGCGTAGAAAACTAGGGACGTATTATACGTTCTAATATACGTGTAGAGAATCACGTATATTACTTGATGTATTATGCTTACCCAACCCTGGTAGAAAGTGTAGAGGAAGTGTATACTCGGTGTAGATGCACTCGCAAAACGAACAGCGACGTTGCGTCACTTCCGTCAAAACGAACAGCGACGTTGCGTCACTTCCGTCAAAACGAACGCCAAAGTGTACACTTTTCGTAAAAGTGTAGACAGTGTAGGCAATACGAACAAACCTACAGGCTCCCCCCTGGTTCGAGAGAGGATTTTATATTCCGTTTCCACCTCACATATACTAACTTTATAAATCCGTATACGTTTCCACTTTTGGAGTATGGCATTAAGAAATCCTTCGTACTTAAGCCCGGCATTTAGGTGTCGGTGGAAATGTAGTATGACATCCTGCTGTTGAATTTCACATGTATTCGATTCCATCAGACTTTACAGATGAGTGGTAAGGTATTGTTCGAGATGTAAGAACGCGAAGGAGCCGAAGTTCCAGATTGTCTGATAAAGTTTCCTACGGTGATCTCTACTCTGATTTAAATCAGAAAATGATGTCGACTGTATATATCTATGATGACTCATGCAGTAACTCATATTCTAGCGGAAAAATTTGATCTTTCCTCCATCGAACCTCAAAGATCAGCCGGTGAGTACAGTCGACGTCAAGCGTTGTCTTTTTATTACCTGACATTTTGTCGAATCCTGCGTTATCTCTGAATAATAATATTCTAAATTGTTAGACGGAACCCTATTAAAAGTCGGCTGGACTCTTTGGATGGGCTCTTTCCTCTGGACGTTCTTAAGAGGGCGTCATGAATGGAAGGAGTAGTTCACGATATTTCTCGTGTATTGTTATCCCTGTCAGCTGATCAACAGCAAGTAACATGTGAACCATTTAGGAGTCCATCTTTCTCACACTGAATTACTTTTGCAAACTAGTTATCAGGGAAGACTGAGCTAAGGAAGTTGTGGATAAGATAACAGAGAAACATTACATTTATATTCGAATGTGAAGTCATTGAGAAAAATGGGAAATAAAATCAGTTGTTGCGTCTATTCGAGTCCTCAAACTGGGCGAAAGGAATTAGTACGCGAAGGTGGTGGTCGGGGATTGGAGGAGCACCTACCAGAAGGTGAAATCAGTGTTAATAATTTACAACATATTAGCGAACGAGAACCAGAAGATTGGGATTCCGATCCTTCATTGCATCCTTGTGCAGGGACTATCTTTATGGAACGCTCAAAGCAATCCATCGAAAGTAAGCAATATCACAAGCTATAGTGAGAAATTTTTTATTATTTATCATAATTTATATTTCATTTATAACAATGCAATCTAATTTTATATTGTTTGAAATTAAGTTTTTGAAATCATAATTAATATAAATATTAAGGAACGAGTTTGATATTAGTATTGTTTTAGATGTCATTTGACAGTACTTTTAAATTGTGTGACCTCTGTAAACTTGAAAGTATAATGCTGAGTTTTTTCAAATATTACAGATGGTATGGTGAGAAAGAAAAGTCAACACCAATTAGCTGATATAAGGCCTTTAAAAAAGAGTAGTAGTTGTAGTACGATATATTTAGATGACAGTACCGTATCACAACCAAATCTAAAAAATACTGTTAAATGTGTTGCCTTAGCTGTTTACTATCACATTAAAAATAGAACTTCACAAAGACAAATTGACATATTCGACGAGAAGCTTCATCCATTAACAGTAAGTACAAGTTTTTATTCAATTTTATTTTTTAATTTCAATATATAAAGACATTTTAACGTGTGATTTGTGAACATGAAATATTTTTGAATTAAATAAGTAAATTATTTAATTGAATTAAATAAGAAATATTTAATTTTATTACTACTCTTGCAATATTTCATAGAGAGATGGTGTTTCCGAAGATTATGACAAGCACAATCCTGAACACAAACAGATCTATAAATTTGTACGGACTTTATTCAATGCAGCTCAGCTGACTGCTGAGTGTGCTATAATTACTTTAGTATATCTCGAACGGCTGTTGACGTATGCAGAAATAGATATAACACCTGCTAATTGGAAACGGATTGTGCTTGGTGCAATTTTATTAGCATCTAAAGTATGGGACGATCAAGCTGTATGGAACGTGGATTACTGTCAGATTCTTAAAGATATAACAGTAGAAGACATGTAAGTATCATTTGAAATTCTGTGTATTTTAAAAAATTTAACCAATGTGCCCGACTTTTATTGATCAATTATTTTATAATCATGGATACCACAAGTACCTTGTTTTACACAAACAACAAATTATTTGATATTTTATTGCCTAATCTTTAATAAATAGTGAATGTCACAGAACTTATATGTTCAAGATTTAAAATGATATATGGAAACATGGCACAATGAATCTGTTTTTCTTTTTAACAGGAATGAGTTGGAGAGGCAGTTTCTAGAAATGCTGCAATTTAATATAAATGTTCCTTCGAGTGTGTATGCCAAATACTATTTCGATCTCCGGACGCTTGCAGAAGCAAATGAATTAACATTCCCCAGTGAGCCCTTAAGTAAGGAAAAAGCTCAAAAGCTTGAAGCAATGTCTAGAGTATATGAAGACAAAGTGACGGCTGAAGCTTTACGCAATGGTATAAAAAAATGGTCTAGTTTAGATAATGTATGCATAGGTGGACCCAGGCGCAGCATCGCTATTTTATCGTAAGATATTTAAATAGGCGATTAAAAATTTGCTTGATCATAGATTGATATATCTAAATAACAAAGAAAAGTATATAGACTATTGCAGATATTATTAATAGTATGCATATATTTTTTTTTAAAGATTTCAGATACACTTATTTAATGTAAACAAGAACATGTGTGCATTAATTGTATCTGATGGATTGACTGATTAAGTAAAGCTAAATCTGTCATTGACATGATAATCTCTTGATACGGTATCTTGAAATATAATCAAGAGTAACCCTTGTATATGTACTTAGTATCTTTGTAGGAGTACATATTTGTAAAAATATTTTATACTTGTATGATGATTGTATGTCCGTAGGAGAAAGTTTAATGATTCTGTGCTCGCACAGAGAAAACATTAACAAAGTCGAACATAAATACATTCAATATAGTAGTTTGAAACCTAAAATGATTTTTTATCGTTAGTATCAAATTTTCAAACATAAAATGTCTCATCAAACTGCTCTTCCATATATGTTTGACTTCATTAGGAATACAATTAGCTTTCTCCTATAGACATGCTAACGTTACAGCATCATTGTCAATTATCATGTTACATATTCATATATTACTATAATGTAACAGCAGTACTGTCGCTAATTGTGAATGGTGTAATATATCATAGTCGGCCACAATACTGATTGACCAGAAAATCAGTCAAAAATGATTATGCAAACATACAAATATTTTTCCTGTTAATTAAGTTTGTAATTCATGTAAATTGAGATATATGATCAATTGCAAGAATTATTTTCCGAATATGCTGACATTTTTGGATTGTTAGCTATATTAATCATTAATAATAAACAAAATTGGCTTTAGATGAGTAGCAAGCATCGTTACAAGCGCATTTTCTAGGAATTCAACATCTAAGAACTTGTTGAACAAGTAGTTCATTCTAAAAAGTGCACATTGGAGTCTGCTGACCTTCTTTGCACATTAGTTAATAATTAACGATTTCAATAATTAATATATTATTATTTAATTATTTTCACTTAATAGTGAAATTGATTTAATAATAACTTATTTGCGTATGTTTCGGATACGGTGTTTATACCTTTTGATATGAAAATATGAACTTGAATTTCTTTTTGGTTGTTTTTCTTTTTACAACTGTAACCTAGTGCTTGTAAAAATTCACGTTTAGGTAAAAAATGTGTATTGTACGTTTTATATCAAGCTGTATTGCTTACTGTAAATTGATATGTCCTAATTTGATACTTTTCTGCATAATTATTCATTGATGTTTTATATGTTTTAATAATTTGACATTTATTAATGAAAATGAAATCTATTAACATTGTACGATTCGAGACTTACTTAAGTTCTTTTCACCTTCAGAATATTACTGCTATGTCTTACCAGATAATTATCACTTTTGCATTTTATAACGATACTGTGAGAATAGAATCTTAAAGGATAAATGCAAGCAAAAGTAAACATGTTACATTTACATAGGCATTAGACTGAGAGAAAAGAACACAATGGACGAGTTAAACAGGTCATATATGACTAAGCCTAATGCGAATATTTTAAACTTTGATTTGCGTACAAAGTATCATTAACCGAACAACATGTCCTTTGTAATTATTACTGCATTTAAGTATCAATGCATGAGCGATAGTATAGAGAGTACAGTGCGTCGCTCGACTATTTATTCGAATATCTTACGAACTAGGAATTATGAAAGAAACTTTCAGCCTTCAGTATTGTGGCTACAGACGAAAAAGAAGTACCGATTCCAGTTGTACGAAAATGTCTGTATCCACTGCGCTATTGTACCCTGTCCTAGAGATACTTGGCGCCACTCCTGCACATTTGTGCCTAAACAAAATCATAAACTCAGAATACGAGGTACCCGTTTCCTTAAGTTGCGTTCATTAATGAAGATCAAAAGCATTATGAATTCTGTAGCTGTTAAATATACGAAGTTAACTTAGGTGCAATCTTTGCTGCCTACATTTCCATTTTTTATGAAGTTTCCGATTTAACAGAACGTCGTGCATAGCTATTTTTATAAATTGAGGTCCACTGTAAAAGGCGACTAGGGTTTTATTGCGTCCTGTAAATAACTCGCTGCGCTGAATTATATATGGTTCTTAAGGTTGTATAATACATTTAATATGATACTAATAATGAAACTTTATAGTAACAACTTCAAGCATGCGTATATAAGCAACAATTTTTAATCTTCCATCCTATTCTGTACTATTTCTCAATTTTGTACGCCACGTTTGTATTTCAATAGTGTTGTAAAGGGTATTCTGCTATTGGGATATAAATTTGTGATATATGAAATGTTATTGTAATAGTAATATTTTCCATGTTAATTTCAAAACATAATACAGCGTTTCTATTTAAACTTATAACATTTGTCCATTGCTATTCGGTAAATATTTATGTACTGAACTGTACGTTAAATCCTTTGTGTTATATCTTCCATCTATATCTATACTCTATCTCTTATCTATGTCTATTTCTTCTCTATCTCTATATCTAAATATGTCTCTTTATTTCTTCCTCTCTTTTCTTCTATATATTTTTATCTCTATCCTTTATCACTTCTATACTCTTCGCTACATTAAAGACAAATGAAAGCATTTGTTGATACGTGCGCGCAAAACTCGCAATCTACTGTGCCGATATTGTTCAAATATAGCAAATAAAAAAAAAACTAAAAACTAAATCTAACTAAATAAAAGTAAATTAGAAACTAAATTTGAAAAAAAAAACTTGATTTGGCGAGCACTCAAAATAAATTCAGCATTTATGATAATTATTACAGTGCTCGCCAAATAATGTTCTGTATCCTTTTTCGTAAACACGCACTCTCGTACGAGACCCTATGCAGTTCGTCCTCCTGATCTCTAATTTTCATGAATTTGACTATTTACGTATCCGCACTTACTTTGGTTGCTACGTACTGTTTACTATTTCTGCATTGTTATATATATTATTTTACATGACAAATGGTTCCCAATACTAGTTTAAAAATGTCAAAATATGCTATACAAATTGACCATAACATTATGGGAATGTAGTCTAAAAATACTACTAATCACGTGAACATATCTGTAAGTTATGGATTAAATTCATAATAGGATAAAGATCAAAATTTGTTGAAACACTGAAGATTAAAATATTTTTAAGTGTCGGCAGTCAAAGAAGATGCTTCCTACAACGTGTCTCAAAGACTGTTTTCGGGAATATAAAATTTCCGACAAAGGAGAAGCAGTAAAGTGTAGTTTAGGAATTAAAGAAACACATTCTATGGCTAGCAATTTAAGGTGAAGTGAAACCCCCTTCAAATCAGTCAATTCGAATACAACACTTTTTTTTGAGGGTATTAGACCAAACTGCCCGAAACATTGACACATCACTCCTGATCATCTAAGAATTGTCCTGACACATTCAAAATTTGGATTTTTAAAACAAATTGTTTAACTTAGCCCAGACCAGAACCAAAATGACGTCGAGCTCTCATATTTCGATCAATATACAATTATCGAAGGCTCTGACATGAGAAACGAAAGGGTCAGAACAATTTTACGACAATTTAGAACACTCTGGTAATCGATAAACTCGCATTCGAACGGGATAAAGGCAAAAAAATGTTGTATGCGCATCTCTGCTAAAACGATGGGAATACGAGGTCTCGAAGTGAAAATTTAATTAACCTGGAAATCACAGATGGCGCAGGGTGTCACTCTGCAATCAATTAGGGCCATAGAAAGCATGAATCTAGAGGATTTCTGGAGTTTTACTTCGATTTCTTTATAATTATTGTATGGAAACGACATATGGTGTATGCCATTTGGTACTATATCCAATATAATTTGACACAGCTGTCAATATAAAAACGAACGTCGGCAACGTAGGCATTTAGAAAAATCTTCTTTATCGACGTCGATTAAGTTCCCCGACGTGTTTCACTTCACCTTAAGCAATTGTCATATCCAAGGTCATGGTGCTCACAATGGGATCTTTATTGAGGTGAGTTTCTTTGACAAACACCTTTGGTAGTTAAATTATATTTCTGGTAATAATAAAAGGTGAAATTTCAATCCCCCTCCCCCCCCAAGATAGAAAAATAATGAATATTTATTTCGTAAGGTTAAAAAATGTTTAGAGCCAGACAAATTAACACCATATCAATCTTTAGTTTCGTAATTCAAAAACACTATAATGAACAGTTATTGGAAGAAGGAAATTGGAAAAGTTCATGATCAAGTACTTAATCTTCCCATTGGCATGGTTTTGCAGTCAACAACGTTTGGAAAAACTATTAAATTTCGTATTTAAATGTACCATATCAATTAGTCTGTATGGTCAAACAAACATTTTGATTAAATAATGTATTATTTTTTGTTGATGATTTATGGAAAAGATATTTGATAGAAATGATTATGAATGAAATATTAACAGGATCATTTTTCAATATTATGTATTAACTTATTCTTAACAGTAAACCTACCGACAATTTATAACCCCATTATCAATAACTATTGGAAAATGGTCATTTGACCCGGCAGTGGTATGTTTAGTGTTAAACATTATCATCACTTGGTGCTTTTTTTTTAACAATTCTGTATAAATTGTAATGTTCACAATGGATCAGTTCACTATTTAGTGATTGATATGATGTAATAATTATCAGGGGAAACTGTGACAAATCTTATAAATCAGCCAAAAACACATTTGGAAGAGCTACTTGAAGAATGCAACGTTCCTGCAACGATTGAAAAAAAAATAAAATTTCTTGAGTTCACAACATTTCATTTGCAATTCTAAGCTACATGAAACAAAAAAACCAATGGTGGTTCTTGATTCAACCCCCCCTTCGCTAAAAAACGTACCCCTGTACAGAAACGATACACTCCACCGACCGTCAAACGTACCACACAAACCAGGCAGTCTTAGTCGCCAAATTTTTAATATGCTCTCCGGAAAATGATAACAAACGATCGTGCAAACGGAGAAATAAATTAATTATCCGGAACCGACCGTTCATCCCCCATAACCGTGGCGGTGTAGACCTTCACGTCACAGGTAATGTCCTGTAAAATATAATCGCCAAATTTTTAATATGATCACCGGAAAATAATAACAAATGATCGTGCCAACGGAGAAAAAAATTAATTATCCGGAACCGATCGTTCATCCCCCATAACCGCACCGGCATACGCTCTCACGTCGCAAGTAAAGTTCTGTAAAATTTAAACCGGGGGGACTTAATCGCCAAATGAAGGAAAATGATAACAAATGATCGTGCAAACGGAGAAATAAATTAATTTTTAATATGTTCTTCGGAAAATAATAACAAATGATCGTGCAAACGGAGAAAAAAATGAATTTTTAGGAACCGACCGTTCATCCCCCATAACCGCAACGGCATACGCCCATAGATTTTTCATATCGACTTCTATTATAAAAATGGCTGAAATAGCATTTCCCCACTGGAAGAAAATATGTAAATCAACCATTTCTGCAAAATTCGGTAGTACTTGAATACTCTAATCGGTTATTGTTGCCAAACGTTATTGTAAATTTTGCCATAAGTAATATAAGTACATATATTTCAACAATTATTTTCTAATTTCCTCAAAATAATGTGTTTATGAAAATCTAGTTTTCCGGTTCATAAAACTAATTTAAAATTTTCAACCCAAAAATTTAACCAAATAAATAAACTTAAGAACTCAATTTTAAAACAACATTTTATTTGACGATCACCAATACAATGTCGAAGAGGCCGATGAGTAGACTTCAAAGGCTAACCACATTGTTTTCAAATTGAGTTTCTAGGTTTACTTATTTAGTTAGATTTTTTAGTTTTTTCTTTTTTCATTTTGTTAAATGAAATTGACAACTACATTTTTATAAACATATTATTTTGAGGGGAAAAAAATGTAATGTTTGGAATACATGTACTTGTATTATGTCGGGTTTAATTAACTGCAACATTTAGCAAATAGAACTGATTACAGTTTATAATCGTATGCAAGTACTATCGTATTTGGCAAAAATTGTTCATTTCCATTCTCTGGGGGGAAAATGCTATTTCAGCGATTATGATAATAGAAGCAGATAAGAAAACTGTAATTGGTGAAGGTTGTCAATGCATAAAGTGATGTTTTGTGGCATATCAATACCAGCGGATATCTTCGGCGTTACTTTGGCCGTTTTGTATTCTTTCCTATAAACACGAATAAAAATATTCTGAACAATACTTAATGGCATTATTTTTAAATGAAATTTCATATAACACGGTAGTACTTTAAGTTTGCATATCATTAAAGAAATTCGGATAATGAAATGCTGCGCTTTTGCAGTTAATTTTTATTTAAATTCATCTTAGCGAGTTAGCTTTATTATGTTTAAAGCAAACACTACCGAACGCTCACAGTTCTTCGTTTGCCCAGTCGATTGTTTTCGTCTTTCTGACAACGTATTAAAAAATTTGACGATTAAATTCTCCCGAATTATATTTTACAGGACCTTACCTGCGACGTGAGGGCGTATGCCTGCGCGGTTATGGGAGATGAACGGTCGGTTCCGGATAATTAATTTTTTTCTCCGTTTGCACGATCGTTTGTTATTATTTTCCGAAGAACATATTAAAAATTTGGCGATTAAGTCCTCCCGGTTTATATTTTACAGCACATTACCTGTGACGTGATGGTCTACCCTGCCGCGGTTATGGGGGATGAACGGTCGGTTCCGGATAATTAATTTTTTTCTCCGGTTGCATAATCATTAATTATAATTTTCCGCAAAACATACTAAAAATTTGGCGATTAAGTCCTCCCGGTTTATGTTTTATAGGACATTACCTGTGACGTGAAGGTCTACCCCGCCGCGGTTATGGGGGATGAACGGTCGGTTCCGGATAATTAATTTTTTTCTTCGGTTGCACGAGCGTTTGTTATTATTTTCCGGAGAACATATTAAAAATTTGGTGATTAAGTCCTCCCGGTTTATGTTTTACAGGACATTACCTGTGACGTGAGGTCTACACCGCCACGGTTATGGGGGATGAACGGTCGGTTCCGGATAATTAATTTATTTCTCCGTTTGCACGATCATTTGTTATCATTTTCCAGAGAGCATATTAAAAATTTGGCGATTAAGACTGCCTGGTTTGTGTGGTACGTTTGACGGTCGGTGGAATGTATTGTTTCTGTATAGGGGTACGTTTTTTAACGAAGGGGGGGTTGAATCAAGAATCACTATTGGTTTTTTTGTTTCATGTACCTTAGAATTGCAAATTAAATGTTATGAACACAAGAAATTTTTTTTTTTCAATCGTTGCAGGAACGTTGCATTCTTCAAGTAGCTTTTGGAAGTTATTCTAGAATCAGACTTA